TGATTTATTTTTGTAGCCCTGTTCGTTATGAATTAATTAATGTCTAATTAGAGAAGGAAAAATTGCAAACACATGCACCACACTGTTTTCTTTTTTTCTCACTAATAATGTGCAGTAAAAAGACAAAGTTACATGATAAAGTACTGGGGGTGTAACGATATCCAAGTCTCACAGTATGATATCGTCACGGTATGAACCTCACGATACAATATTTATTGCGATATTTTTGTGGAAGATAACAAAACTGTAAATATGCTACTTTTTCCTCTTAAAATTCCTTGACAAGACTTAATCCAAAGAACTAAGACTTAAAAGTGTTTAGAAATGTTTTCTTCATGTAGTCTGCGCTGAAATGGAGCAAAGGATCATGGTCTATGTAGTTCCCTCTATCTTTCTTTAACTATTGCTGCATCATAACTCTTAATTTAAGCAAAGTGACTTGTAATTCGATATATTGTGATGGTTCATGATATTATTGTGAGAACTTTGATGATACGATATCCCTATGAAGTACTGTCATGTATTCCTTTTAATTTATAAAAGTAACTGAATTCTGAATACCACCAAATGAAAGAGTAACTGTATTGAAGCACTGTTACTCAACATGTGTATTCAGAATATGTAGTTTGTGTACATGTATTTAGTTACTTCCCAACACAGTGGACCTGACCTCTCCCAATGATGTTTATGTTGAAAGTAAGATTTGAACTGCTAACCTTCAGATCAGTGGACATTTACTCAACCAACTGAGCAGCTGTGACCCTATTTTACTTTTCTTTGCAAAGATTGTATTTCCAAAAGTGAGTTAAAGTGCACTATGCAGTATCACCACAAATGCCCCAAACCGTGAACCCAAAGATTCATGTGTAACAGTTTAGAGCTGGAATTTAACCACCTCACATTAAAATCTGTCAAAATAACAATTATTTAAACCTGTGTATTTCCAGCGCCCTGACCTTCATCATGCACGCCTGTCCTCTTCCTCCTCTCCCTCTTCTTTCTCCTCTTCATCCCTCCCTCCCTGTTCCTTTTCTTCCACCTCCTCTTCCTGCTTGCCCTTCTCTTCCTTCTCCTCCTCCTCTTTTTCCTCCTGTGTAAACCTGTGTATTTTCAGTGCCCAGACCTTCATCACGTCCACCTCTTCTCCCTCTTCTTCCTCCTCCTCCATCTTCTCCTCTTCCTCCTCTCCCTCCTTTTTCTTCTCTTCCTCCTCTTCCTGCTCACTCTCCTCTTCTTCCTCCTCCTCCTCTGATTTTCCTTCTTGCTCTCATCTTCCTCTTCCACCTCCTCCTCCTCCTTTTCCTCCTCTTCTCTTCTTCTTCCTCCTCATCCTCTCCACTGCCTCCTCCACATCTTCATCCTCTCCCTCCTGTTTTTCCTCCCCTTCCTCTTTTTCTTCTTCTTCTTCCTGCATTTCTTCCTCCTTCTCCTCTCCTCCTTCTCTTCTTCCTCCTCCTCTCCCTCATTTTCCTCCTCTTCTCTACTTCTCTACCTCTTCTCTACTCTCCACCCCCTCCTCCACCTCTTCATCCTCCTCTCCCTCCTCCTCTTCTTCTTCCTGTTCTTCTCCCTCCCTCCTTCTCCTCCACTCCTTCTTCCTCCTCCTCTTCCTCTTCTTTATCCTCCTCTCTCATCTTTCACTCCCTCCTCCTCCTCCTCTCCCTCAGTTTTCTCCTTTTCTCTACTTCTTTCTCCTCTTCCCCACTCCCTCCACCACCTCTTCCTCCTCTCCCTCTTCCTCTTCCTCCTCTTCTTCATGCTTTTCTTCCTCCTCGTTTTCCTCTCCCTTTTCCCTTCTCCTCCTTCTCATTCTTCTGTTCCTCCACCTTCTCTCCCTCCTCTTCCTCCACTCTCTCTCCTCTTCTTTCTCCTCCTCCTCCTCCCTATCTTTTTCCTCCTTGCCCTCATCTTCCTCTCCCTCCTCCTCTCCCTCATTTTCCTCCTTTTCTCTACTTCTTCTTCTTCCCCCCCTCCTCCACCTCTCCATCACCTCTTCATCCACTCCCTCCTATCCCTCCTCCTCTTCTTCATGCTTCTTTCCCTCCTCCTTCTCCTCTCCCCTTTCCCTCCCACCTCTTCTGTCTCTTCCTCCTCCTTCTCCTCTCCCTTCTCACCCTCCTCCTCCTCTCCCTCCTCCTCCTCTTGGTCCTGGTGGCTGGTATAACTGATCCCCTGTCTGTTTGGTGGAGATGTGCTGCTTTGTGGACCATGAGAAAATGGCTCTGAGTAAATGAGCAGCGTGAGGCCTGTGGGAGGGCGTTGTTCTGAAAGACGCTGTGGATGGATGAACACTGGAGTTTGTATTTTTGTATTTAGTCTAAACTCTGCTTTGTCCCAGTGCTGGTGTGTGTGGGTGTGTGGGGTGTGTGTGTGTGTGTGTGTGTGTGTACCTTGCTCCAGACATTAAGCCCCAGATGACACTAAGCCAGAAGTGTGGTTTCAACTCAAGTGAAGATTTTTGCACAGTACAAGTCTCTTATTATTATGTTTGTTTGTGTGTGTGGAGCAAAAAGTGAACAGATTTTATACTAACAGGTAGTTTTTCATGTTACAATCGAACTATGTATGGCTAAAAAGTTGTTGCACAAGCGTCTTACTCTGTCTTAAAATGCACAAATTGCTTCCCTTTGCACCAAAATAGACCAAAGTCCACCAGTGTTGCCATGTTTGTTTTGGTTCGTTTGAGAGCTTCACCCTTCACCCCCTAAAGACAGTGCTGCCCCGTAATTAACCAAGACACAGGAGATCATGGTGAGAGCTGCAGCTGCAGATACTGTGGGAATGAGCCCACAGTCCTGGACTAAGTAAGTAAAGTTTATTTATATAGCGCTTCACATACAAAAGATAAAAAAAACAGCACAAGATACATTCCTAATAACTCAGCAGCCCTAAAACTTGTTCAAAAAGAAATGTTTTTAGTTACTTTTACACAGAACGTAGGTAAGGAGGCAGTTCATTCCAGAGTTTACAGGAGATGGCTTGAATGGATCCATTGCCTCACCTTTCAAAGCTTGTCCGAGTGACCGTTATCAGCTTGTACTCCTCAGCTTCCGCACCAGATCTTAAAAAGAGGCCTCTCGGTGTGGATGAAATCACGCCATGTTCCTTTCCCAAAAATTCGTCACCCCAGAGGCCCCAAGACCTACATTCCCGTGGTACTGACTTCTCACCTCATGAAAACTCTGGAACATCTAATCTTGGTGAAACTCTTCATGACCCTCTGCAGTTCTTCTAACTGCCTCACCTCAGTGCAGACGACGCCATCATCTACCTGCTCCACAAAGTCTTCGCCAACCTGGACCATCAATTTCATTTCTCTCCAGTGACTAGGTCAGGAATCAGAATACACTAGATGGTTCGCAAAAACCCCGGAAGTGTGAGTCCGGGCACCAGCCAATCAGCGAAGAGCCATACATTCTCTGTTGGCAACGATTCCCGAAATCGAGGATTCAAAGTCGGAACAAAGAGAAGGTTTGGTGAATTTTATCAAGGGGAAAGACGTTATTGTCCTTCTTCCTATGGGATTTGGGAAAAGCTTAATATACCAGTTAGCAGAGGTGGGACTTGCAATTTGTGACATGTACTTGAATCAGACTTGAGTCACTTTTTTTAGGACTTGAGGCCTGACTTGATGAAATGGACTAAGACTTGGAACACGACTTGGACTTGAAGGTCAGTGACTTGGGACTTGACTTGGACTTGAGACCTGGGACTTGAGAAGCACTTTTAAATCTGAATTCTTTCTGTTCTGACCATAATGATTCACTCTAAGATATTGTCAAGACATTTAAAAAGAAAAAAATAAACAAAATTAATTTCTACAACTCTTGTATCCTCCATAAATACGCATATATAAATATACCGTGACCTTTTTAAGTACAATTTAGTTCAAAATTCCTGTAAATTACAAAAATCTAAGCTATATTTGGTACTTTGGTTAAAAGACTTGAAATGACTTGAACCTCAAAGCGGATGACTTGGACTTGACTTGGACTTATGGGCCAGTGACTCGAGACTCGACTTGGTCTTGCCTGTATTTGACTTGGGACTTGACTTGGACTTGAGGTCAAAGACTTGAGACTTACTTGATACTTGCAAAACAAAGACTTAGACAAAGACGACCAAATAGCAGGGATTGGTTAAATAAAAAGTACCTGCCTACCGTCGAGCAAACGAATTCTAACACTGCGAGGTCAAACGGTTTCCACGAAGTGAAACAGACTGATGAATCAGGCTATGGGTGAGTATCTTTAATGGAAGGGTAATTTTAATAAAAAAATAAAGTTAAAAAAAAAGGTGTAGCCCTTCATGCATTCATGTATAAGTGCATTCATTTATTTACACATTTATATTTTCACCCAACATTTAATTTAATGCATTTTAACATTTATCCTTGAGTTCATTTCCAGTTATGTCATTTTTGATCCTCTAATTCTGTTTTATTCTCAATTACAAAAACAATGGCTATGAGAATGAGAAAATGTGTATGCATCCTCCCATATCTGGGTTAAGGCACTGACTCCTAATGTTTAAAAAATACATATAGATGTTTACTGCTAGAATAAAGCTGTACATACTACTATAAAAGCAGGTAGTAGTAGTACTCTTTTGTCTCTAATTGTACAGCTTTTGAGCCTGAATCTCAATGACAAATTACAGATATGACGGCACAACTACACATGACCAGTTTTATGGGGCTGTTGTTTACTCCGTGTGCTGGAGCTGGTGGAGGAAGGATTGGTATTTACTGTCACACCTCACTTCACCAGGAGACAAGAGCCAGCTGGCACCAAGACTGGCATCATGTTTACAACCAAGGATCTATGGCTTCTGCCTGACAGGCCACGAGGTCCACTTATAATCATTACAATCCTCATATTTAAAAGAAATATGCAAGGTGGAATTATAAAAAGCTTCAGTTGCAGTTACGTTAAACCAGGGATTAATTTATTTGCATATTTTTCAAAGTGTATTAAAAAACAAACAGCTGAAAAACAGGCATGAGTTTAATCAGTGCGTGTCCTTAGAAAGCATTGTCCACCGCCAGAACTGCTTCTTTACACAGAGGGTCCAGTCTGCCGTCCCCCCCTGAAACAGACAACAGGTTTATAGAAAGTCAAGTCTAGTATTCTGTAGTATTCTGTAGCATTCTTTAGTATTCTATAATAGGCTGCAGTATTCTGTAGTATTCTGTAGCATTCTTTAGTATTCTATAGTAGGCTACAGTATTCTGTAGTGTTCTATAGTATAGGCTGTAGTATTCTGTGGTATTCTGTGCTAGACTGTATTATTCTGTAGTAGGCTGTAGTATTCTGTCGTATTATGTAGTAGACTGTAGTATTCTGTTATAGCCTGTAGTAGCCTGTAGTATTCTGTAGTATTCTGTAGTAGCCTGTAGTATTCTGTAGTATGTAGTATGTAGTAGGCTGTAGAGCACAGTACAGTACAGAGTGCGGGCAGTGTGACGTGAGCTAAAGGCACTGACCGAACTCGAGGCTCGTGATGTCGCAGCTGAACACGATCCTGCCGCGGAACAGCAGCTCCACGCGATTCCTCTCGCGCGTCTCCTTCAGCGCGCACGTGTATCCGCGCGCAGTTAGCGCGGCTGCGCGGTGCGCACAAAGTAACACACATTAGCTAAAGTTAAAGCTAAAGCTAAAGCAGATGTTTGTATTTGTATAAGTGACTGCTCTTACCCCGGATGCCCTGTAGCCGGTAGGTCCGGTGCTGCACGAGCCCACAGGACTCGTACGGCCCGTACAGCACAGTCACGAGCGCCGCCTGCTCGCTCATTGTTTGTTGTCGGTTGCCTTGACAACCCTTTCGCTATCCTACAGATACGATTACATCTACATACAGTAGCTTAAATTTAAAGTTTACATATTATGATTTTGAGAACCAGTAGCCGACTTAGTAATCACCTATGACATAAATGGATCATGTGATGCTCAATATGTGCCCTGCTGTAACTGAACTTAAATCAAGAAGATTAAATGAAATAACAAAAAGAGCTTTTCATTGTAATATCATCTTTATTATAGGTGTAATGCTGCCATAATTTACTTTGCTCTGTATATGTACATTGTACTTTTAACATAGAGGCTACTCCTCAGCCCCTCATATTGTCTCTGGTATTGCAAAATAAATACACTTTGATTGTTGCTAATCTAATACATAGTTGTAGGCTCACACAAACCTACTTCAACACTTTCTAGAACATCATTGTCAGACAGGAAGTAACTCCCTGTTTAAAAGCACAGTATCTGTCTCAGTCATTTGAGTTCTTCAACTCAGTAATAACATTATTATTGCACATAAACAAACTGTACAAAAAGACAGCACACAAATTGCATAGAACTTATAGTTCCACATTAATAAGAATATGATCGCCGCATGCACTCAATAGGCTAAATACAGTTTAGTGGTCTCATAAGAATAAAATAATGCCATTATTGTAGCTCTTATTAATACATATTGTACCTCTTATTAATAAACCTGCTTTACCTCACAGTAATCTATATCATACTATAACATTACAGTATATGTGAATACAGCTACTCTGACTTTAACAACACACAGGGTTTCTCATATATAGGCTATAGGCTATAACGCTTTTGTCAAGTTATATTTCGTTTTTACTGAATCAACATCCATATACTACTCTGTTTATTAACATTTAGTTGATTTCAAACTTCAAAGTACTTTTACTACTTACTGCACAATGTAAGTATCACTGATTCACATAGAACACAGTCACTGTATCATTAAGTGCACTTATATGGTTGGATAGTCCCTCTCCTCAGTGCCCTCCTCCCTGTGCTGAGCTCTTCTCTGCTGTCTTCACCACCACTTTGGGCAGAGGCGCCTGGTTCTTGGTGGGTTCCTCTGCTCTGGGTGTGGCGCTTCCCTTGCTCTCCACACTCTGACCCTGTTTGCTTTGTCTTTGTGCACTTGTGTTGCAAATACCAGGTTTGCAGGTAGGTTTGGAGATGGTGCACAGGTCCCTCATGTCCACCAGGGCCTTCTCCACAGTTTTGGAGAAGTTGGTGGAACAGGTCTGGGGGCTGTCATAGAAACTGGAGACGCAGAAGATGATGTGATCAGACTGGGGGTTGTAGCACACTCCATATCCATTTGGGACGACCGGACCATAGCAGCAGAACATCTCCACTGTGGTAGGAACCTGGTGAAAAACAGTCATGGTTGAGTTAGGGGCATCTATCTATCTATGATCCAGGTGTTTTCATTTCCCTATTTTGTTCATAAATAAATTCCTATTCCTAATATGGAACTCGGCTCCAAATTCACCCCTATAACTGTCAGCCTTGGTGAGCTTCATTTGACTGGAGCTGAACACTGTGGGTGATGTTGCACTCCCTTAGTCCACTTCTTTATACAGTCTAAGGTTAGGGGTGTAGATGATATGGTGGTTTAAAATTTAATTGGCAAGTCAGTTAATCAGCAAGATGGATTCTTGCAATGTTTGTCAACTCATGAGAATCCATCTTGGCAGGCTCCTGCTTGGTCCTGGCCAACCAGTTGTTCAGACCAAAGACAGAGCAGCATCGTGGTTTGGGTGGAAGCCAAAGATGAAGTGCCCAAATGAGCCAAAAGTTTATTTTTTTTGGTTTTGTTCCGCTGTTGTGATCAGCTTGGAGCATTAGTTTGTATGTCCAGATTGCGTTCAGTAAGAGCCATCCCAGATTAATAATGTGTAGAACTCATTTCAGAATGGTACACATATCTTGTGTTAGCCAGGTTAGTTTAATACAGCTCTAGGCTCACATACACTTTTCCCTACTCACTACTCCAATTTATGACCGAATGACAGTTCAAAAGAAGATCACTTATATATATTATATATAATTTAAAGTAAACGTAACTCCTTACAGTGAACAATTTTAAGCCTTTTCAAGTCTTTTTTATTTATGTTTTTGATGTTTCTATATACCTACACTTATTTTGAGTATTAATACAAAAGTAGCAGCGTAACCTTTGAGGTTAGTTTTCAATAAATGATTGTTATCCTTTTGCAAAAGACACAAGTGGTTGGAGAGGCTATGGTGAGATTGGCAGCCTGTATTCCATCAGTCTGCCCCAGTGCATCTGTGACTACAGAAGTAACTTACCACCATTGAGGATGGAGTGAATGACTACAGACAGTGAAGCTCTCTGAGAGGCTTGTCAAGCTCATGAATACAAATGTAAGCCATTACTATTATTATTAGATCCAAATGGAAGCGATAACCTTTAGCATGACATGACTTTACACTGTATAGCTACAGAAGAGGCATATTAATTAAAGTGTTTTTTTTTTTGTTGTTGTTGTTGTTAATTGTTTGTCAAAGTTAAGTATTTCTTTGTGTTGCCCACAGCTCAGTATGAAAGAGTCCTACCTGGCTGGTGGAGAGGATGAACTGGTTACTGATGAGATAGGCTTCATCTGTGAAGATCTCTGGTGTCTCCATCTTCAGCTCTCGTGCTATTTCTCGCAGTCCCAGAAGGTGATTGTCTATGGCCATCCCTGTAATTGCCTACAACACGAAAGTACTTTAATTAGTAGTTTTACCTACCAGTATTTATGATATGCAGTTGGGTTTCACAGTATGACCCTTTGTTGTGATGATGTTCACAGTAGCGTCTGTAAATCAGCAGACTTGTTTCAGTTGTTAAGCTGTTTTAGATCAATATTGCATTTTAAAATGTACAAATTATGTACATAATGATCTGTGTTTGTCATAGATTATAACTATGTAGCAGACACAAGCGCAGTATGTCTTCTTTAAAGGTCCTCTGTTAACCAACATTTTCTCTTGTGAGCTTTAAGACATGTTGTTATGTTGTTACCTCCTCAAAAACATACCTGGAGTTGTTTTGTTTCATTCACACATGTTTGAGCAACCCATTATTATTAGTCTGTCTACATCTCCAAACCACAGAATGCTCTGTTCCATGTTGTGATGTCATGTAGTGATTTTCAAGTCAACAGTTGCCTTTTAATAAGTCCACTTACCAGAATAGTATATTTTGTTTGTGCTGCTATGGCGTCTTGTAACAGCTCCATCTTCTCCTGGAACACAGAATCAATAAACAGCCTATTAATATCAAGCTTAAATATAGAGTGAAGGAAAGATGATACGACAGCCAGAAAAATATGGGAATGCCGTATATTGTTTTATTATTCAGATAGATTTGTATGGTGCGCCGCTGTCTGGAGAGAGCATTTGTTAAGCAGTGACACGATGACTACAGCCGCTATTAAACATCTTACGCTTGAACTCAATTTCCCATCAGTCATTGCTGCGACGAAGGCCAGAGCTTGGGGCGTGGCCGAGCGGATGTTGTCCACTCGTCCCTGTCGGAATCGGCGGGTAGAGGCGCTTTCGTAAGTGGACGCGGGTCGGCCATGACACCTGTGGTTGGAAAGACAAAATACTTTTAAAACTCCATACACTTTCACAAGAATAATCTGGATAATTTCAGACCTGGAATTGCCAATCTCTACTGAACAAAAGGTGAAATGTAGCTGTTAACTTAAAAACTACCACTACATGACATCACAAGGTGGAACAGAGCATTTTGAGCTTTGGAAATGTAAACAGAGTAATAATGAAGGATTACTCAAATGTGTGAATAAAACAAAACACAACTACAGGTATGTTTTTGATGAGATGTCATTCTAAAATTAAATGAATGACAAAAAAAAAAAAAGCACAGCACACTCAGATGGCTGATGCAGGGACAGACTGAGACCAAAAATCAGCCTTGGACTTTTCCCTCCTCAAATCAAGCCCACAAATCGGTCCACCAATCGGCCCACAACAAATCAGACCACAAATCAGCCCATAAATTGGTTCATAAATCGGCCCACAACAAATAGGCCCAGAACAAATCGGCCCAGAACAAATCAGCCCAGAACAAATAGGCCCACAACAAATCAGCCTACAAATTGACCCAAAACAAACTGACCCACAAATCGGCCTACAAATCGGCCCGGGGTTGGCAAGATTGTGGGAATTGAGGACCAGGGCCAGGGGCATTTATTATTATTGTACTCCGTTCTGGACTTTTCCAGAAGTTTTCCAGAAGTTTTCCAGAACAACAGATTGCCAGTCTGTCCCTGAATCAGACGCCACTGCACCATGGTCTGAGGTGGACTGGCCAACACTGCATTTTTTCGGGAGTACAGATTACCAGCCTGGGCCGATGACCAGAAGCTTTAAAAAAATTTTTTAAATAATGTTTTGGCAAAAAGCCTTCGTCAGATCATTTTTCTTGTTTTGGACTACTGTATAACAACATTCTAACATGGCTTAAAGCTCACAAGAATCTAATTTACATAATATAAAACAGTTTGAATAGTAAAATTGCTATTGTTTAATGTAACATCCTTTATGATATTCAAAATAGCCTATTTCACTACACCACTTCAGTCATTATCAAGAAGACAGTTAGTAGGGTGTAGTATCTTACCCAAAGACACAACAAAACCATATACATTGCCTCTATTGAACCAGCAACTGTTTGGTTATTGGACGTCTCTACCAATTGAGCTACTTCTAATGCTGTCCCACTTATTTATTCTGGCATATTTATCGTCAATGTGAGCAAATACGCCCCTGTGACCTTTTAAAGATAGAATTTATACCCTGAAGACAGCCATGTTTCTTTTTTCTATGTGGTAGTAAAAGCAGTGGAAGACTTGTTGGTGAAGTAGGCTGTATTTTCTTTCCGGTGAAGGGAGTTAACTTAAAAGGTGCTGTCAAAAACATGAAAAACAGAAATAGTTCTTTTTAAACTAGAGTGGTCCAAATTTTCAGAGGCCAGAGAAATCACAGTAAAGTTAATAACACTGAACTGCTTGCTAACACTGCACTTCCTTGTTCGTAGACTATAAAAATGCTTGAGATGCAGATAGCACGTAGTGGTCTTATTTTGATAAACTGCTCAGTCGACAAAATGGCAAAATGAAAACACCAGGATCATGTAGAGTGGGTTAATATGAACATTTTAAAACCTCAATGAGGAGTCTGACAGCAGCAGTTATGGAGCAAGGGGCGATGCTTTTTTCAATACGAAGTGGAGTCAGTGGAGCCGGAAGCACGCCCATGCTCACTTCTTATTTGGAACGTGGAGGCTAGCGAGTTAGCTATGTCCATTTATACCAGGGGTAAGCAATTATTTTTTCCATGCGGCCACATGAGAAACAGAAAATATTGTGGAGTCCTGGGCCAAAATGCTCAATTATTAATTGTATTTCTTTATAAAAAGCAGTAAATAGCATTGTTTTGACAAGCTGGTAAGACTATGAAGAGTATATATTATAACTAAGCAATGAAAAAGTGAAGCTGCCTTACAAAAAATGTCATAAAAAAAAACCACCTTTAAAATAAAAGCAATGCAGCTTTAGTCCATGCATGAGGTAAAAATATAAAATATGTTTTGTAATACCAAATTATCTTAAATGAGCCGGTCAGAGTCGACCAAAGGACCGTATGTGGCCCGGGAACTGTACAATGCCCAGATCTGACAAATTTGACCCCCAAATTACATTTGGCCACAAGATCATATCAAATATGTGTTAGAGCTGGCCCGCTGGCTACAGATAGACTATCGAGACATTATTTATTTAAAATATTGTTATTGTTTTATATTATGCTTGTTCTGGATTCAATGTTTAAACAAAACTATTATTTTATTTTAATAAGAAAATGTTTAACAGTACATATCTCGAAAAAAGAGAAAGCATGCAAATGTTGTTGAAATTTTTCAATAAATATTCCGTTTGGCCCACGACTTAGTCCCAGTTTTTAATTTCTGCCCCCTGGGAATTTGAGTCTGACGCTCCTGCTCTATGACTTAATGGCAATGCCATTAGTTCCATTTGTTACTAGCTACTTGGTAACTAATATCCTTAAATGCAATTTAACATGCAAGATTGAGCAAAATGTTGAAATAACTTAGTGGTTTACAAAGCTTCAGAAACAGATTCTACATAAGATTATAGGTCTGATGGTCATTAGTTACCACATAGGTGATTAGTCCTGAGCTTTAAACTTTTAATATACAGTATGTCATCAGTGAATGAGACATTTACTTTCATTAGTGAAACAAGTAACATGTCACGATGAGAAATGTGCACACTCTAACTTTAAAAAAGCGTCTAAGCACTTTTCTGGATAAGCACCTGGACAGCAACATGAGCTTTGGAGAGTGAGACTAATTAAATATGCTACGGACAGAGTTTTCAGACTGGTACCCCAAGAATAACAAAAGGATAACTATTGTGATAATTCTGCACTCTCTTACCTGTAATATGCTAACTGCAGAGCCACTTGAATATAGGCATCTGGACTCATCTTCTGCTTCTTTATAAACTCTTTCCCGTACTTGTAGAATTTGTACACATTCATGTCCAGGTTTTTTGCCAACCTGGCAACCAAACAGACAGTCAGTTTTCATACACATGTAGCATCTTTGTTTTACTTTTTTGGCTATGTTTTCATACTAACCTGTGTAGCTTGTCGGCAGATGCGGATAAAAGTTTGTGGATTTCCGGGGTACATTTCCATCGGAGCCTTCGTGGTGCAGGCAGCTCGCTCACACTCGCCGCTCTCACCAGTTTAGATGGACTGCCAATCCTAAAGGAACAATGAATAATGGATAGAAATAATTAATGTTCTATTACAATACAGGCTAATGTAAAAAATCTGTCTCCTAAAACAGCGGTCCCCAACCTTTTTTTTTCTTAATACTCATTAAATTTTTTTTAAAGACCAGTAGGGGGGTATATACTATTTTCCCATGAGGTCTGGTACCAAATAGTCCGATTTTGGGCCCTGGGTTGGTGATTGGGGACCTATGTTCTAATATTCCTCACATGTATTTGAGTAGATGCTCCGTGCACTGGACCAGTACAATGCCTTCAAACGGGGAATGTTCACACACAACTCCACAGCAGCCATCCGCTCCTATGATAAACTGACAATGAAACAAAATGAATATTTGAAAATACATCTTGTCACAGTAATAACCATATTTTAAAATATCTTTAGAACTGAATCGTTTGTAATACAACATACACATTTCTATCTAACTACTTTTCATTATTATATTGTTATATCGTTGTTACCTAAACAAGAACATATCCGCAGTTGTGTTTTGTTTCATTCACACGTGTTTGAGAAATCCTTCATTATTAGTTTGTCTACATCTCCACAGCTCAAAATACTCTGTTCAGCCTTGTGATGTCATGAAAATTTCAAGTTAACAGATTCTTTTACGTTTTAGTTCAGTAGAGATTGCCAGTTCTAGGGTTGAAATGATCCAAATGATTCCAGTTAATGTGTATAGAGTTTAAAAACACAGTGGAGCCCTTCCCGTATTACAATCTGACATCACAAGGTGGGTTTTTTCTGTTTGAGAGAACTATATATACAGGTTTGTGTGTTAAATATATGTGAATGAAACAAAACACAACACTACAGCATAGATCTGGAAATAGTCTAATATGGACGCTTTAAAGGTGCAACTTTGCACCATGGAGATATTATTGCTTTAGCTGGAATGTTCCACAGTATACTATTAAACTATATCTATGGAGACAAGCTGACACCACCAGAACAAGTGACAGATCAGAACTCTTTCAAGTCTGTTAACAGTAAGAATGCTTGCTTTTCAAAGAAAGAAACACACCTATAATTCAATAAATGGAATAGAACAGAATATATATAGTTTATTGCCATACTGGAACATTCTAGGCAAGGTCTGGCATGTCTTCCACTGGGAAAGTTCCACATAGCACCTTTAAAAACCTTCACTTGTACCAAATTGATCAAAACACTTTCATAAAATACTGTTAGATTTTCAATATTACAATAGGCCAAAGCAGAGCAAGATACATTAGTACGGATTTAATTGGACTGTACTGCTCATGTGTCAGCACTTAGCCCATAGGGGGTCTTAAATCATGGTTTTTACACCTTTAAAGAAATAATTCAATAGGCTACACTACCAGTCAAATGTTTGGACACACCATTTCATTCTTATTCAATGTGTATTTTCATTTCTACATTTTACATTATTTAGGGTGACCAGACATCCCTGTTTACCCAGGACAGTCCCAGTTTTGAGCCCTGTGTCCCCTGTCCCAGCAGATTTATCCAAAACCAGACATTTGTCCCATTTTTATTCAAAAAATGTCCCAGATGTCCTTATTTTTGACCAATCTGATACCGGTCAACAGTAAAGACAGGTTTAAATTGTCACTTGTTTAGGTAAAATACAAAAAAGCTAATTAAACACTAAGAAAATGTGACTACACTGACTCACCGAGTGTATAACAATTTTCCTTATGCACTCGTTTCACAGTTTTATTATTACCAACCACTTCAAACCGAGAGTGTCACAGTTTTTGATTTTGATAACTTAAAAAAAAATTCAAATTCCACAAAGTATCCACCCTTTGATTTATCGAAAAATTCATATATCTTGCTTCATGTATTTGACGTCTTCTGTATGTATCTAAAATGCAAATGTAGAAAAAATTAGGGGAAAAAACACGGAATTAGAGAGTGTGTCCAGACTTTTGACTGGTAGTGTGTACAGTATCTTGAGAATATAGGCTATATTGTAATTCATTAAAGCTATAACCTTTAATCTAAACACACCAGTATATAGGTCTATGCTAATAACATTTCACTAGAGAATATTCCGAATCCAGGGAAAACCTTTACTTTTGATCCGAGTCTAGAAATATCACATTAAATACATTACACAGCACTGCTCCCCGTTTGGCTCTGCTTTTCGCTTCACCAATTAAAAGCATTTGACCCACTTTTTATACAGTCACACATTCAGAGTCTTATGAAATATGATGTAACATTGTAGGCTGAACACGGCGTATTTTCCGGGGGGCTGTTTCTAACCTGCATGGGCTTGTCGTACCAGCGGTTGGCCCCGTTCTTGCGCGGCCCTCCCCCGTGCAGCATTAACATCGCCCGCGTGCTGTCGTTAATCTCTGGTCCGCTAGCGTCGTCCAGGCAGACCAGGCACATGCAGCGCTCGATCATGTCCAGAGAGTCCCTGTTGGTCGATTCTGGAAGAAGTTTCATATGTAAAAGTTTAGAATTACAATTTTGCTTTTGGTCATCTCTAGAACAACATTGTAAGTTTGTGACATTTTTGAACATTTTCTGACAATTTTTTTTTTATTTGTTGCAAAGAATTAACAAAAACAGCTATAGCAGACACGGAGTTTAACAATCTCATCCACTTCAAAGTCCATCCCAGTTCCAGAATTTTTTTTTGACTGTTTAACTTCATCCTTCTGTTTGTATCTGCTGCTGTCAGGCTCCTCATTTTGGTCTTAAAATGTTCGTATTAACCCAGTCTACTTGATCCTAGTGTTTCTATTTCGCCATTTTGTCTGTAAATCAATTCCTATTCCTAATATGAAAGTCTGCTCCAAATTTTCCCCTACCTTTCAGCCTCATTGAGCTTCATTTGACTGGAGCCGAACGGTGGTGATGTCACTCTCCCTTAAGGCCGCCACACACTTCAGGATTTTTTGCTCTTACACAGACATGAGGAGAATCTTATGAGACTTAAAATCTCTGATCGCAAAGACTGCAGGGGGATATGTCTGCGGACCACAGGATTTGAGACTCTTATGTGTTCAAAAGATCAGAGCACTGCACTTCTAGTTTAGATACAAGTCAAAACTGTGTTATTATTTGTGAAATGTGGTGCAATACTTCAGATACGTGATTTTTAAAGCATAAAAGATTGGCAATAAAGTTCACAGGAAGTAGAGTCACTATCACGAATTTGCAGCTTCACCTCGATCTGTGTGCTGTGTGGATGTAAACAGAAACACGTGAGGAACTACTCTTGCCTTTTTACTTTCAAAAAATGCCTCCAACTGGATTAACAGCACTTTTTTGAACTGGATGTCGTTATTCGCAGAGGACAAGTTCTATGGATAATGTGGATGAGATGCTGCACTTTAAATATTGCTATAGTTGGAGTTTGTATCTTGCGTCTCTGTGTCTGTGTCCGTCACTCCCTCTGCCCCTGATGTTCTGTTTTATTGGCTGTAACCGTGGTGTTGCTGATGTTTGGTGGTTATAATCTGACCGAGCAGCTCAGAGTCACACTGACATGACACGCGAGGAGCACAGCGGCTTCAAAATCGCACGCAAAGACACAAAGATGGGTCACGCCTCACAGCCAAAATCGGGCAAATTCTCCTGTAGTGTGTGGCAGCCTTTAGTCCACTTCTTTATAGAGTCTGGCTCCATATGAATTGGAGAGCTTGTTGATTGGTCAGTACTACGGTGGGTGTTTGTGTTGTCCTGAGAGATTAATACAATTTTGGGTTGGCTTTGTTGTGGGAACACGAGTATATCAGAGCAGAATGCAGTTAGCTGCTGAGAAGATGTAAGCAGGATAATTGAGAAAAATTAAGCTTTGCTGAGTATAATCATGTTCACGGTGGCTAACTCCAGAATAAACAATGCGAAGCTGAAACTGAGGGCTGAACATTAGACTAATCCAATACAAAACATAACATTTTGAGGACACAGCTCACCTCTCATGAGTACAGCACGAGACTCCGCCCACTCAGTCCGCCCGTCTGAGGTGAGTAGCCCGATCGGGGGCAGGCGCTCCTCCTCGCTGTCGGCCATCTTCATGATCCTCTCCAGCTGAGTGAGCAGGTCTCTCTCATTCAGGCGACGGAAGTTTATCACCACGTCCAACACAAAGAACTGGACAGGGGACATGGCAGTAGAGTTTATTTACGGGTGTCTGATATGGAAAAAAAAATTACCTGGAGGACTAAAAAAAAGTACCTGGAGGACTAAAGGGGTGAGTGAGGGGGGAGGAGCGGCGTGGTCTGGAGGTATAAGGAACAGTGGGATTGGTCTAACAGGTCTCCTCCCCCTCTGTCCCCCTCACATGTTTGTAACAGAAACACCTAGCTGTAATCAGGGCAGTCCTGTGTGATATCGCATAGTATTTGAAGTTGCTGTGTCCACTAGAGGCAGCACACACTCAGGTTTGACTGTTTTGGACCAGAAAGTTGCAAATTTACTTCAATCATACTAAAACTGCCAACAAAGGACTAGGGATGGTAAACAGTGGGTGTTATTAAAACATCATTTACAGAATTTAGTAGCAAAAAATGGGATTTAGTCTTCTACTTTTATTGTACTTTAATATGACTGCAAAGTGTCTGGAACCCATCTCCAGATCTTGAGATAGTCTTGGTCAGGACTATCTTAGATGCACTGCAAAAAAGCTTGGCCAAACTTTAATATATTAACACTTAAATCTATCAAAAAATGACTTAAAAGCAGTGAAATTATATGTCCATGCAGCAAGATCATTTTACTTGACAAGTTATCTTAAAATAAACTACCTGTAGAGTAGAATTAAACAGTCTCACAGCTAGTAAGTAGATAATAAATCTGAAAACAAGATGATTAACCTGATATAAGTTTTTAAATCTTGGCCAGATCAGCCAGATTTGCAGTGTGGATGTTTTAATTATTTTGCTTGTTTCAGGTTGACGGAGGAAATCAGAGTGGCCGGAGGAAACCCACACACAGGGAGAACATGCAAGCTCCACACAGAAATCGCCACTCATCCCTACAGAGTTGAACCCAGGACCTTCTTAGTGTGAGGTGAGAACGCTAACCACCGCGCCATCAAGTCAACATGTCTCAATTGGCCCTGTGAGTGGGTGCTGAGACGACGATTTTAATTGAACTTGTGCTAAAAAAGCCATCATGAAAAATAGGGAACACATACGAGATTATCCCTTTAAAACAATTCGTAATTAAAGACAATTTATTGATAGATATGTTTAAATTTTACATCAAAAATATGAACAGGTCTGGCCCTTGGACCGCTGATACATATTTTCATTTTGGCCCACAGAGGAAAAAAGTTTGGGCACCCATGTTTTAGACGGAGATGGAGAAAACTAATATGTAAAATGGGAGTGATTTAAAAGATCATACTGATGATGCGAGCCTTATTTCCTCAGGCAGGTCATTCCAAAGCCGAGGCACCTGGGCTGAAAAGTCTCGATCACCTCGATTTGTTTGGAGCCTGGACTTTGGAACAGCCACAGGGACCTGCCTGAGGATCTAAGGCCGTGGGAGGGCTCGAATGGGGTTAAAAGTTCTGAAATGTAACTTGGTGCAAGACCTAAACGAGCTTTAAAAGTGATCAGCAAAATCTTAAAATCAATTCTAAAATGCACGGACAGCCAGTGAAAAGAAGTAAAACGGGTCATGTGTTGATGTCTGTTAAACCCATTGAAGAGCTGAAGAGCTGCTACGTTCTGAACCAGTTGGAGGCGGGAAATGGATTTAGAGACTGGAGAAGAGGGAGTTGCAACAGTTTAGACGGTAGAAGATGAGCGTGTGGATGACTTTTTCAAGATTAGGGTGGTAGATAGGATAGTTCTGATTTTGCTAATTGATGGAGAAAATTGTTGGAGAAAACAGGAGTGGGTGACTTTTTTGATATGAAGGTGGAAGTTGATAGCCAGGCTGGCACCACCTAGTGACTCCACCAAATTTCTTTCTCTCCAGCGACTAGGTCAGAAATCAGAATACACTAGACGGTTTGCAAGAACCCTGGAAGCGCGAGTTCAGGCACCAGCCAATCAGCGAAGGTGAATTTTATCAAGGGGAAAGACATTATTGTCCTTATTCCTAAAGGATTTGGGAAAAGCTCAATATACCACTTAGCCCTGTGCATTAGGTCACAACGTAATAACAGAGATTGGTAAAATAAAAACAGTACCTGCCTATTGTCGAGCAAACGAATCCTAATGCTGCGAGGTCAGACAGTTTCCACGAAGTGAAACCGGCTGATTAATCAGGCTTGGAAGTTGAGGTTAGAGTCAAAAATGACGGCGAGGTTTCTGACAGCAGGGGTGATGTTTGGAGCAAGAGGGCCGAGACACTTGATGATATGGAAGATAGATTGTGGTGGGGGGTTGATTAAACAGATTTGGAGCTGTTGAGTTGTAGGAAGTTCTGTGCCATCCAACTTTATACTGTAGTACTGTAGCCTTAAGATATCTGGCACTTGTTGGCACACTTGTAACCAATCTTATCCTCAGCAAAACACAGCACAGCTTCTAATATGAATATTAACTTCACAGATTTTATTACTTGATTCATGGTTCAAGTAATTAGACGCGCTCGGCTGGCTGTCTCTATTACAACTAAATCAAAACCTCAGGGCACAATCAAGTAGAAAAACAGATTTTGCCATATCACTTAGAAAATTATTAGCTACTCTTGCTAGAAATGAGCGTCCAAATAAAAAAAATAAAAAAAAATGCAAAAGTGAAAATTGTTACTGCAATTTAATTAGTGTTTTATATCATTATTCTGTGCTTTCTTACAAATGATGACTTTAGAATTGAAATAAACAGCTTGTAGACCCATATGCAAACGCTACCTGTTATGATGCTAATTATCTCACTACACCTGTCCAAGCTTTAATTAGTCATTTCGGTTGCAGTGAGATTCAGAACAGAGGAGCTTTGGCGCATATGTCCTTCTGTCACGGAAATCTTGTAAACACATTTATTTGACCACTCAACATCAGCTTATACTATAGGGAGCACATTTTCCAGTATCATCGTGCATCCCGCGCTTATGTTACTCTTATCTTAGTCGACCATGACTCAAATATGAATTGATAAATGATGAGTAACTGTATACAAATTATTACTCAGATGGTTTACGGTTTTAAAAATGTGGAAAACAGAACTAGTTAATTGAAAACAGTTTGAATCCATGTATCATTCGTTCATTTGTTTTGTCGCTTTTTCAATACAATTTTGCACTTTCGATTTAATATGATTCGATACGATATATTTCAAATCAATTTGATACGGTTCAGTGCAAAACAAAGGCTAAATCAACACTTTGAAAGTTTAATGTCATAAAAGTTGATATGAAAAACACCCATTTTACTCAAAAAAGAGAAAATGTCAACACAACTGCAGCTCTTACACCAAATAATTGACTAAAATATACTTACAAATACTCTTGGTGATATATTGATACAGCAGCCCACGATATCAATACTGTATCATCAAATAATGAATGAAAAATGACAAAGACATTGAAAAGTGCTTTTAAACTCATCCCGAATCGCGGTGAATCATTGGAGTGTACAGAATGCAAAAGGAAAGTGAGGAATAACTTTGGACCACTGCAAACTAATCTGTGTATCAGTAGTTCAATTGTTTTTCAAAATAAAACCAAAAATAAGAAAACGAAAAAACAACTATTTTATTCATTATTTGTCCCCAAAATAAAAAAAACAAAACAAAAAACAGATAACGATTCGTTTTTTCAGTTTTCAATTTTGTGTTTTAAATGAATAATGGAAAAAAACGGATAACAGCTGTTTCCAGTTTCCATGACTTAAACTGCGACGCCGGACTTTTGTGCCGCACACGAACTGAACCAGGACTAAACCAGGACTAAACCAGGACTAAACCAGGTCTAAACCAGAACTGAACCAGGACTAAATCAGCTCTACCAGGACTAAACCAGAACTAAACTGGTCTCAGTACTGGTCCCGTGGGCCCACCCCAACACTCCTGGTTCAGTCCTGGTTCAGTCCTGATTTAGACCTGGTTTAGTCCTGGTTTAGTCCTGGTTCAGTCCGGCATTGCAGTTTTATTGCAGTAAATAGTCTTATTTTTGGTTTTATTTTACAACACGATTGAACGAATGATACACGGATTGATTTGCAGTGGTCCAAAGTTATTCCTCACTTTGCTTTTGCATTCTGTACACCCTCAGGATTCACTGTGATTTGGGATGAGTTTAAAAGCACTTTTCATTGTCATTGTCATTTTTCATTCATAATTTGATGATACAGTATTGATATCGTGGGCTGCTGTATCGATATATCACCAAGAGTATTTTTAGGTATATTTTACTACGCTACTTCGCTACAGTTGTGTTGACATTTTCACTGTTTTGAATAAAATGGGTGTTTTTCATATCAACTTTTATGACTTTAAACTTTCAAAGTGTTGATTTAGCCTTTTGTTTTTCACAGAACCATACTGAATTGATTTGAAATATATCATATCAAATCTTACTGAATCGAAAGTGCACTGTATCGAAAAAAGTATCGAATCGTGGCCTATGTATCGGGGCAGTATCGTATCGGTGACTTCGTAATGATACCCAGCCCTACTTTCACAGGGATTTTGTTGATACTGTAATGCTAACAACAGCTAGCATGCTAACAGTGTACTTCCTGATTCTCAGACCAAAAAATAAAATAAAAACACTTTCTAAAGAGAAGCGGTGTAAAGGCTGTTGTCAGCTTTTGGTAGAGGGTCTGTCACCTGCTTATCTTCATAACGATATTGTTTCTTTGCCTGGAATGTTCCCCAGTACGGCTTTAAACATACTGATTCATTCATTCAATTTCTGGTGTTTTTATTGCTAAAAATAGACTTCCTGTGAGCGGGGTTGCTTCTCCATAGATTGCATATTGAGGCTGAGTTCTTCTCTCAAACTGAAAACACTCCACCTTGTGATGGCATGTGGTAATAGCGGAAGTGCTCCACTGTGTTTTTAAACTCCATACACCTTCACTAGAATTATTTGGATAATTTCAGTCGTGGAATTGCCTCTTAGAAAACTACCATACTTGGAGATGTAGACAGAATAAAACAGGATTACTCAAACATGATGTGAATGAAACAAATATAACTCCATGTTTTTAAGGAGGTAATAACATTCTAACATGGCTTAAAGCTCACAAGAATCCATTTTAATCATTTGATCGCCGTAAACATTAGCTTGTGTTTGCTGTTATCTTAGCACTGACCTGGTTCTTGCACGCCACGATGATATGTTCTGGTTCAGGCATCACGCTGCTCTCCTGGGCCACTAGTGTGTCCCTCTGAGGCCCCGGTAGTCTGTAGGAGGTGAAGAGGCGGTAGTACTGCTCCATGCACATAGGGGTCCCCGCTAACTGTCCCCGCGTGTAGTCCACAGGCAGGGCACGGCTAACAAGAGTGCATGAGAAAAGTTAAAGGTGCTGTATTTAGATTTTTACTGTCTAAAAACATGTAAAACAGAACTAGTTCATTTTAAATGATTTGCAGTGGTTCAAAGTTATTCCTCACTTAACTTATGCATTCTGCATCCCAACATGTTTTATTCACGCTTACGTCACAAACCAGGAAGACGTTTGGAAACATGCAATGAGAACTTCTGGTGGGTGTAGTTACCAACACTGGGCTCACCTACCGACTATATGATCAAACCCACTGAAGTAAATATCATCAGCAGTAAAATGAAGACTGCATACGTATGGAATAATCTTGAATTTGGTGTCTTATCTCTTCTAATCGCATGTACCCAGTGCGCTTGGAGTTGTGTGTCAATGGGGAAATGATGAAAACTGAGGTATGGTTGTAAGGTTTGATTAGCCGAACACAATGGAACACTACAGTGACATTTAGATGAAGAAAACTGGGCCAAATTCTAATTTTTCCTACATTCTGTCAGACTACTGTGAAAAGAGCCCGCTGCTGTTTCCAGACATCTTCCTGGTTTGTGAAGTAAGCGTGAATAGAACCTATTATTCACCATGATTTTTGCAGCCACCTTATTGGACAATAAAACACTTTCTACACAATTTTATATTGACTTTATAATATATAAAAACTAATATTTTGACTTATAGAATATACTGTATCTGTACTGTTCTAAGACAGTTTGGCTCAAATAAATGTAAAAAAATATATATATTTTTTAAGTGGTAGGTCACCTGTTCTTCTCCAGATGAGCTGTTATTGCTTTGCTGAGTATATTCCACAATATGGCATTTAACTTTTATTTCTAAGCAGCTGACATAGGTGACCTGCTACTTGAGGCAACACAGCTTAGATCTGTGGAGAGGCGATTGAGAGTGACTTGGGAGTTACTTCATCTTCCTGCTTCTCTTTTTATAATTTAATTTGGGGATTGGCAGATGTTCTTCACATAGGGTCTAGTATGCACTCGGCTGAGGTTTGAATTGGATACTCTATCACAGTATACAAACCAGTCTTTTAGTAAAATAATTTAAAGCAAGAATTGACTCACGCGTCGAGTAGTGTCTTGTAGTCCAGCACCCCAGAAATCAAATGTGCTGCGAACCTTAAAAAAAGAGGAAGAAAAAAAAAGTGGGTTAAGGGATGGTGTGTTTAACCCTTGATTTATTTCCAGAATGCCCTACATTTAGCCACACAAATGTTTTATGTAAATCATCTGGTTAAGGAGGCGCTTCAGGATCAATACCCCCTTAATCACAGAGCAACCTTCACCACCAGTTAACCCCAACAGCCCAAAGGGATTCTGGGTAATGGCCCTATCTGTCAAGTCTTCGCTTCACTGTTATAGACATCTGTGAAGAAACGCATTCTCCCCAAAACAGTACAGTACACATTTCTGTTTTACTTTTTTTTTTTTTTTTAATCTATTTACAATTATTTAAGCCCTGTACTGTGAATTCATGTTTGTAAGAAAAGGCTGTTTATGTATTACATTTTGAACCATATGTCTTACTGTATATACGATTTTTTTTTTTTTTTTGTGTATAAATAGGCCTATATGTATTTACAGTATAGCTTGGAGCATCTTAGTACACAGCAAATTGTGTCATTCCAACTCATATATTGTTCATTTTAACACTTTTACCATGTCATATGAGGCTCACACTAGAATTTGTTAAAACTGCACTTTCCAAAGTGTAGAAGGTTCAACACTGGTAAAGTGATGTAACCACACTCCTCGTAAATGAATCTGACACTGATTATGATTAAATTTTTTTTACACTAGTGTACAGTGAAAAACTATTTTAACTCTACACACCAAAAAACAAAATGTAGCCAACTTAAGAAAGTTTTATTATGATTTGAGTAAATTTCCCTTGACAAGTAAAAGTATCTGCCAGTGGAACAAGACATTTTGTACTTAAAATATGAAAATACATCGTACTAAACTTAAAATAAGAAAAACAACAACTGTTTGGGCTTAAATTAAGAAACAAAATCTAATGTTGCTCGGATTAAGAAAAACACACTTATTCCATTGGTAGATAATTTTACTTACATTTTACTTTACTTTAAATAAAGTAAAATGTTCTTAATTTAAGAAATTTTAATTTAACATGATATCGTTTTTTTTCCAGTGTATACTGATATGTTTTAACACTTTATGAAGTAGAAATAGTGCGCTGTTCTTCATGTTACAGTATTCAATAGTACCTCTTTCTTCACTAAGTAGTGTCAGTGCTGCAGTTCATAATATAAAATATACATAATATATACATACATGTATAATATTGAAAACCACCACAAAATTCCATTTCACCTTAACTTGTATTAAAACAATGCGCATCATACAATCAACACAATTCATTTCAACAAATCATGACACAATATTGTTTTTTCCATCTATTTTAAATTTACATGTCAAAATAGGAACAAATAGACACAATTCATCTTTGAAATATGTTAAAATAATAAAATTGAGATTTGTATTATTTTGCACATTTTTTTACACCCACAAACACACACACATGCTGCTTTATCATGCTTTTTGGGGACATACATTGACTTCCATTCATCTCCTGGAGACTGATTCTGTCCTTATCCATAGTCACTACTTCCCTAACCTTAACCTAAACCCCAACCTTGAACTTTTTCAACCCAGATCTAAACGTTAAATCATGTTCTTTATTAAACACTAAAGTCCCCATGATGTAAGGGTGTATTGGTGGTGATGATGTCATTCTCCCAGACGGTAACAAGAGACAGATTTCCTATTCATTACACTGTACTTTGCCATGAAATATACAAAAGGTAAATATGCAAATGTTGAACCTGATCATTTCTAGTAAAGACTGGACCCAAGAACTCAATGTACAAACCATCTGCGTTTTAACAATATTCACTTTAACCGTCCCTATTTTAAAGGTCCTATAACACGTAAAATTCTCTTGGGAGCTTTAAGCCATGTTAGAATGTTGTTACCTCATCAAAAACATACCTGGAGTTGTGTTTTGTTTCATTCACACATGTTTGAGTAACTCTTTATTAATTGTCTTTCTACATCTCAAAAGCTTAAAATGCTCTGTTCCACCTTGTGATGTCACGAAGTAGTAGCGTTCAAGATAATACCTCCTTTTACCTTTAGTTCAGTAAAGATTGGCAATTCCAGGGCTGAATGCAACCAAATGATTCTAGTGAAGGTGTATGGAGCACTTTCTGTATTACAGCATGACATCACAAGGTGGAATAGAGTGCTTTCCATTTGAGAGACGAACTGTTGAACAGGTGTGAAAAAACAAAACAAAACAAAACAAAAAAACAACAGAACTCAAGGTATGTTTGTGATGAGGAAGCAACATTATAACAGATCAGAAAATATTTAACACAGACTTGTGGTAAAAATACTTGCCCACACAAAAAACAAAATACAAATTAATGATAAACAATAATGTGTAATTGTATAATTCTGTGTGTGACTCTATACGTTGTGTGTTGCTCTTGTGTGGTACCTGAGACAGTCTGAGGGTCCTCTGAAGTGCCGTGGGGGGAACACCATGGCGGGGCTGGAGTGCACGGGCAGAGGCAGCCGGTTGTTCAGGTACATGTCATTCAGCCAGTACTCGTACACCTGTCACCATGGAGACAACAAACACACTCAAATAAAGTTAAACCAATAACCAAGCAATATTAAAGCAACGGTATGGATTTTTTTTTCAATGTCACATTTTAAGCTTTGAAAACATTTTAGGTCTACTGCATAACTTTTCTGGTCTATCACCTGCTTGTCTCCATGGAGATGTTATCGCTTTACCTAAAATGTTACACAGTATAACATTAAACATCTATCTAGCAATCTTTTTTATTGCACTGTACCTCATTTTTACTGTCTTAAATGGCCTGCAGTGCTCCAAAACTTATTCCTTATGCATTTCTGACCATCCTAATTATTCAACATGATAAGTTTTTAAGCTCTTTTCACAACTCTCTGGAAGGGTAAACTAACAACTAGCATGCTAACATACACCTCCTGATTATCGCACAGAACAGGGCCTTTAATATTAAACGTCTGAATGCTTACTGGAGGCGAATCAACTATGTGGTATTGCAAGGATAAAACTCATAATTTACGATAAATTTCTGAATGTATTAAGGAAATGCGTCTTTCCATATTATATTTAGTCTGGGGGTTGATAACATTTGCTAAAAGGTTTATCAGCACAGCTCCAGAAAACCACAGAATCAGAGGAAGTTGCGACAGGAATTATAACTGAAAAAAAGCATAGGCCTGGTACAAGAGTGATGGGTATTGGTGAAGTGTCAGAATAACTGGGCAAAAAAAAACAAAACCAAAATTCTATTCATGTTTGGACATCTACCTTGATTGAATTTTGATGTAATTAGTTAATTTAGAAAAGGTTTATATCTTTCAAGAAGCCTTTATGTTAAGAGTTAGATTTTAAATTTCATAAACACAAACTTAAATCTTTTTTGACAGTGTTTGCTAATGTGTCAAAACATGCATCCTGAATTTTGGACTTCCGGTCATTGTGCAATGTACACTGGGAAGAATCCTGAGCAAAAAGTGAGCATCAAACCGCCATGTTTGATTTGTGATCTTGCTGTAAAGTCAGTCCAACAAGAAAGTGCTCACTCGGCCTGCTTGTCCTCTGCACCTCTCGCTTAACAAATGGGATTTTGCTTTGATGGCGCTCCACATACAAAATGTTCACTGCAAACTCGGGATGATTCCTTAGTCAGCCAAAGGTTACCGTTTTCTTCCTTCCCGTGTATCAATAGTGTACGGTGGCCGACGGGGGCTAAACACACTGCAACGGTCTGATGCGTTTCAGTTAGAGAAAACAGCTTCAAGTGCAGAAATTATTCAAATTCACAAACTTAAATACAAGTTTAAACGAGGTACAATCAAAGAATGTAGTGCAAATGAAAAAAAAAAAGTGCTGCAAGAAACAAAGACAAATTTATCATCATCAAATACTCGTCAGAAAAACACCAACCTGCAAAACAAAAATGCTGCATAAAGAATTGCCACAGTGGAAGTGCTCCAAACCTGCAGGGGACGCTTTCAGTAGCTTTGTCCACGGACCGCAAAGGCCCTGCTGAAATTGGACAGATGCAGGTTTGGAGCACTTCCGTTGTGGCGATTCTCTTTTACAGATGTTTTCTTGGTTTTCATCATTTGTGCTTTGCATTGTTTCTCTATCTGAAGCGCATTTGACGATGATACATTGGTCTTTGTTTCTTGCAGCACATTTTTTTCATTTGCACCACTTTTCTTTGTTTGTGCCTTGTTTAAACTTGTGTTTGAGTTTGTGAATTTGCATCGTTTCTGTACTTGAAGCTGTTTTCTCTGAGACGCCGTCGGCCACCGTAATACTGCCCATCGCCTTCGCCTTTCACTATTTTTCTATTCAGTTAGGAAGGTAAACTGTTTGAATGGAGATTTTGCAGTCACACAGATCTGATTCCCTTTTGTATTTAAGGAGTTTGCAAACTTCCGAAGCCCGTTTCTTGAGCCATTTTCTGCTGTTAGAACATCCAACAACCACACAATTACAATGTCAGAATCCCATAACTAAAATATGAGAATATCAGAACGAGAAACAAAAGCAAAATGGTTCAAAAGACTAGAAAAGACTGGCTTTGACAATAGACACATCCCACTGAGAAATCAAACATGGCGGTTTGATGCTCACTTTCTTGGAGGATCCTTCCCAGTATGCATTGTACGATGACCGGAAGTCCGAAATTTGGGATGCATGTATTGTGTCACCACAGTAACGTTTGACCATTCCACTACAGAGATACACCCCCAGTGTGATGTCACTGCAAAGTATCAACATGGTCAGATCTCAGCTCAATGCAAACTTGTTTTATAACTGAACCACAGTTCCAGGTGTGTGTGCTATAGGTCACATTTGAATATATGGTCTGTAAATGTTAACCCTATAGATAAATGAGAGTAAGTCTATTACAGCACAAGCAACACAGCTGCAGCTATTGTATGTAGCCTCATTTTAAACACTGCCAACTTTTACCATCAGAGCCATGGGAACTATTCAAGACTGAAAGTGTGTATTTTTACCATTTTTTGTATTAGGGGTGAGACATGAGGACTGGGTCATTGGTCACTGCTTGTTGGAACTACAGCCTCTTGAGAAATGTATGTTACCACTGCTGAACTGCTTTTTTGTCCAATCCAAATATGACCATTTTTTCTCTTGAGATCTTGTGGTTGAGGTCTTGTGCCATCACAAACCCAAAATTGTCTTAACCCCAAACCCAAAACTGTCTTAAGGGAAGATACTAAAGGCAAAACTACACACCATAGACTATAAAAGAAGTGGGCTAAGTGTCACCGATAGCTTTCAGCGCCACTCAAATGAGACTCGCGATGCAAATGGTTACAGGTTTGACGGACAACATAGCGAAAAAAAAAAATTCAGGATCATGTTGTGGGTTAATACGAACATTTTAAGACCAAAATGACGAGGATCACTGCAGCAGTTACAGAGAGTGGAGCCACAAGATCCAAATGTAAGTCAATTGGAGGCAGGGTCAGAAGGAGCCGGAAGAGCCTCCCGGAGCACTTCGTATTTGGCACACGGCGGCTAGTCCACTCATATATAGGGTCTATGGTACACACTGGAGGGATTATGGTTCTTGGATGGCTTGAAAACACCTCAGGATCCCCCCAGAAGATGTGGAAGAAGTGTGTGTGGAGAGGGAAGTCTTGGGCCTCTCTGCTCAGACTTCTGCCTTCTCAACCCGGCCCCAGATAAAGCAGAAGAAAATGGATGAATAAAACTTGCCTCCATAGATGTATACATATGTGACATTGTAACTTCAATGGTTGTTTTCTCCAAATGCATGTTCTCCATAAGTACACAAGGATCACTGCTTAAAATAACACCTACATACACCAGGTTTTACTATCTGGTACTTAACAAGATTGTGACGAAACGTATAGCAATTTTTTGTGTGAAATTTTGTCCACTCAAATACTAAATACTATATCAAAAATCCTGTCTGTATTTTTTAGTATCCAAATGACAAAATGAGTAGCTCATTAATGGCAGACAGTTCTGCAAGAAATACCTATCCCAACACTGGATAATTCTACACAAAACAAAACAAACTATGAAAGCCAATAAGGGATATGGGCATGAGCATAAATTCAGCTTCGATTCAGAGATTTGGTACTATGTTGCTGTACTAAATAGTTTTCCATATTTACCCAGTTGTCAGTCTTGTCCCTCTTATCCTTGAGTTTTTGCTGCAGTAGCTCCCCCACGCCTGCAGGGGCGCCGAACTGTTGGACTATGGTCTGTGTCCTGTTGAACTGTTCTTCTGTGAGCAGGTGCTTCACACAGCGGAGGTACAGTTGCAGAGTGTCTGCCAGCTCTGGGATTGGTAGTTTAGGAAGAGCCTGGTGCAAAATACACAATAAATATGCTTCATGTTTTTGTGGGTTTAAAACTGAGACATCTTTTTCAATGTTAAAGGTTAAATTGCACAAAATTGATTCTTGTGAGCTTTGTTATAATGTTTTTAAATCATACAAAAATATACCTGGAGTTGTGTTTTGATTCATTCATGTTTGTGCAATCCTGGTTTGTCTACATAAGCCTGATTCATCAGCCAGTTTCACTTCGTGGAAACCGTCTGACCTCGCAGCATTAGAATAAATTTTTTTATTTAACCAATTGTTGCTATTTGGTCGTGATGTATGTAATGTGTCGCTAACGGGGCTAACTGGTATATTAAGTTTTTCCAAAATCCTGTAGGAAGAAGGGCAATATCGTCTTTCCCCTTGATAAAATTCATCAAACATTCTCTTTGTTCCGGTTTTAAATCCTTGATCTCGGGAATCGTTGCCAACACAGAATGTATGGCTCTTCGCTGATTGGCTGGTGCCCACTCACACTTCTGGAGTTCTTGCAAACGGTCTAGTGTATTCTGATTCCTGACCTAGTCACTGGAGAGAAATGAAACTGAGTGGAGACACTAGGTGGCGCTGGCCTGGCTAGGTCTACATCGCCAAAGCTCAGAATGTTCTGTGATGTAGTGGTAGTTTTCAAGTTAACACTGAATTTATCTTAGGTTCTGTAGAGACGGGCAATTCCAGGGCTTAAATCACCCAAATGATTCTAGTGAAAGTGCATGAAGTTTAAAAACACAACAGAGCACTTCTTGTATTCCCACATGACATCACATGTGGAATGAAACTAAAAATATGAAACTGAAAATACAACTCCAGGTATGTTTTTGATGAGGAAACAGCTTTATAACATGTTGCGTTCTGTTTGATTTATTGATCTCCGCTGTCTCTCTGTGCCTGCAAAGCCACAAGATGAGACAGTGAAGCACAGAGGAGGAGGTGCTGGTGGTACCATCCTTCCACCATGGGATGAACATAGTGTAACTGCAGCAGGCCTTAAACACCAGAACAATATAGGCCCAGATCTCACACCAGACAAGACCTGATACATTTACACAACCAGTCATCTTCAAACCGTCATCAAATATCACTTTCATTTTGGCATACGATGCGTGCATTTTTGGTCAACAATATAAAACAATAGGATGATCTCATGGACGTCTTGAATATGTAAAATAATCACTCACATTGTCTCCTCCTTTGTCTTTGGAGCTCTCCCTCTCCAGGACCGGCATGATGGCGAAGGGTCAGGTCACGCTGTGAACGCACAAATGTATCAATTCACGTATATTTGTTCATCGAAAATGTAAATAAATTATAGATGAAATGCCCACTAACATTAAGAAAAGTCCAAAGTAGTGACATTGCATTGACCGTAAGCCCCCAAACTTCTAGTACGACACCAAACAAAACCAATCGTTAAATCCAATATTATTCTCATTAACATAAACTAGTTCCATAAATTAGTAATATTAACGCTGTTTCTTGTTATGTAAATGTTTCGAGTTAACCAATAACGTTCACAGACCATCCATCACCATTACGCTCCTGCACGCTGACAATAGACGTTTATTTACGCACAAACGAAACTAGAACCAGCTTAATTGTTGTTTCTTTGAATTAAGTTGAAGACATGTGTCCCGAAATTGTGAGGAAAAAAAGCTTCAAGTTATTTAATTTAACGATTATGGTGAGTCAGTTATCTTTAAATTAATAATTACGCATGACTGGTGCGGAAAGGATTGAATAAAAATATGTAGTTCCTATTATACAGTGATGCGTAATAGTGTCAGAGGGCAAAGGGCACGAGCAAAAACATCACCAAAACCCATAGCGCGTTTTCACAAACTAAAAAATAATAATTAACTTAAACAAAAATAGACTAGGAATTGTCTCACCGATAAGAAGGAGCCCGCGCCTCGTCCTGGAGCGCAGTCACGGTGTATCCATGTTGTTCCAAGTCCGTGCGTCGCAGCCGGTGACTTTTACGCACTCGCTCCGGTGCCACTTTGCGCATCACTCAGCCCCATCGCCCCGTCCCCATCAGACAGAGCGTGCAGTCCCCGGTCTGCTGAGTGGAGATGCTGGTAGTACCTCGCTCTCCAGGCGCGCAGGCTCCTCCTCCCAGAAGTCCTGCTATTCGTCCGCAACTTTATTTGGCACCTGACACGCGCGTGACACTTTATTTTCATCAGTGCCACACGTGATCCGTATCGGAACGGTTTTGGAGATTTTGGAGAGCGCACGGGACTGGACTAGACATTTTTTTGAATTTCCATCATTTTCCCGTGGAGATTATTTAGGCTTCTATTTATGCCGCGTGTTCTCCTCTCGCTGTCTGATTGAATCGCTCTATTTGCAAATTTGCTCCGGGAAGATGAGGAGTGACACATAATAACTGGGTTTGTGTGTGGCCTGTTAGGGACCAAATTATACTGTTTGCGTAAAAGGCTCGTTCTTGAGTGAAATCTGGTGTGGTGACAGGAAATATGAAATAATCCTCGTACAATATATCAGTTATGGTTCATGGCATTTTTGTATTTCTCATATTAATATTAGAGGAATTCATTTAGTTGTGTGTAAAGTTTAAAACATAGATGTTAACTGTACAAATGACGGATCATAAGAGCGTTGTGTCCACTTTGTTCATTTAATTATATACATGATATACATGAATGTACAGGGAGCTCATATACAGAGGCTATGCATTCCACAGAACATCGTTCAAAAGAAACAGTACTTCAGTCACGTCGGTCACACACAGTATTGCATATTGAGTTAGCAGCAAAAAGAAAACAGCGAACACGAGGCCTTGACATGACAATCGCTCTTTAGTTAAGACAGTCCCTGAATATCATATCCACAGTGATAAATACAGTGTTAATAAATGGACATCGATCTCGCAATTAACTTTATGTGACAATACCCAGAGGAGGCGCTCCCGTGACGCACTAAATAATGGATGTTATTACACAATCCTAATGATGAGTGGGTGGACGGGATGCACACACGTTTACATTGCCACTTGGATAGAGGAACAGTGCGTATTTACGCATACTCTCCGCCTGAGGACTCCTCCTCTGAGAAGGAGCGCTGTGCGAACGTCTCGACGCCGTTCTCGTCTATCGTGGTGCACAGGCCCTTCTTCTTCTTCTCGCGGTGTTCCATCTTGATCGTGTCGTACAGTCCCGTGGTGCCGTCCTCCAACAGCATGTTCCTCTCAGAGTAGGACGGCTTCATTTTGGACACGTTTTTGAGCAGCAGCAGCGCTGGTGCGTAAAGCACGTTGGCCAGGCCCATTCCTAAGTTCAACTGAATGAAGCCCAAGTCATGCACTATCTTTCCCGCCACTATGGGCCCCATGGCATATGCCACACAGTAAGAGATGTCTGCGATGGCGTACACGCTGCCGTACACGGACACGTGCCTCACATCCACCAGGAAGGCCAGAGTGGGCAGCAGGGCCGTGTCCACGAAGGCGATGCCAAAGCAGATTCCGCACAACGGGATCATGAGCTGTCCAAAGGTTTTACACGCGGGGATTGTGCACGAGCTCGCCCCAATGAACACCATTCCAATAGCCCCATAGAACCACTGCAGGTGCGGGTACTTTGCCGCGAGTTTAACAGTCAAGAACACGCCCAGCACGTGCGGGAAGAACGCGGGGAACCACGTCAAGCCCACCTGCCACTGCTCCGAGTGCATGGTCTCCTCCATCCAGTTGGCGATGGTGGGCTCCAGAAAGGCCAGCGGGATGTTGCATATGATGAGCGCGCCCGCGACCACCGCGATGTACGGGTCAACCATGAGTTTGTAGATGGGTGTACCCACGGGCATGTTCTCGCGCTCCCGGTTGGAGAAGGGCTTGAGCACCGTCAGGCACATGATACCGTCCCCCAGGCACATGGCCGCGAGGACTATGAAGGGCACGTGCTTCCCCGCAAACTCATAGAGGAACCCGCCAAAAGGGGGTGCAATGAGGCTCCCAAAGGAGATGAAGGCCAGCGCTATCCCCAGCGCCTTGCTGCGCTCCGCCTCCTCCGTGTACCTGTCAGCGATGAGCGCGATGCCCGAGGTGTCCGCGAAAGCGGACCCCACGCCCTGCATGCTGCGCGCGAGGAACAGAGTAGTATAGTTTTCCGCGAAGGCAAAGATGACTGTGGAGAGGAACATGATGTTGAGACCGATGAAAAGCGGGATGTCATAGCCCACCCGGTCTATGAAAGTGCCGCTCAGCGGGTTCACGAGCAGCTGCACCACGGCTTTGGACGCGAACAGAACTCCGATCTGCACGTCAAAGTTCTCTTTGGTCACTTTGGGCGCGGTGCCGTTTGTGAAGTTCGTGCGCACCACTGCGTGCGCCGCTTGTTTCTGCAGCTGCTCCAGGTAATCCGGGACAATGGGCACTATCACCATAAACAGCATATTGTCCAAAAGCAGCGCTATGCACACGATCACCAGGATGACGCGCTTCTGCCGCTCCGGGTCCTGCATGACCGTGCCCAGCTGTTTAGTTCTCTCACTCATCTGGGACAGTTTGGAGGCGGCGGTCTGGGCCAGGTTCGTGGCCGCTGTCTCGGTGTTGCCCTCCGGCTCCATCGCGTCTCTTCTGTCTGGAAGCGCTCCTCGAGGCTCAAACTGTTGATAGTTCACAGGAAAGAGCGCGCGTGGCTCATTACTTCAGTCTCTTGTGAAAAGTTCCACTGCTTTACCTCGTCTCTTTTCCGCGCGCTCTGTGAGTCATTGCTGGCGCGAGCCCACTCTCGTGACTGGGACTGGCGGTGTCCCCTCTGCCCCTGCGCTCTCCTGTCTCATGTCTCCACATCCAGGTGACGCACTGGTCCCGGGCAGCGCTCAGCTCAGTGTGGAGCAGGCTCCATCCGCGCTGCGCTCTGTGTCCATCCGCGCTGCGCTCTGTGTCCGTGTTCCGCGCTGTGCTCCGCTGTGCCGCGATCCTGCGCTACCTGTAACGCTCTGGTCTGTGCCCAGTCATCGTTTGACTCGTGCAGGACTGCTTTTGTCGGCCCTGGACGGAATTCACTCTGCAGTTTGTTAATTCCCCCGGTGTTCCCCTCCCCCTCCCGCTCTGGCTCTGTCTCAATGACGCACAGTCCCGCAGCTCTCCAGAACATCTTTTATGCTAATTACCTCAGAGTCCCAAATGAAAGCGCTGCCCAGGCACACACACGCTCTCGTTTAAGCACTTCAAGTGCCTTTGAGGATCTCTCTTTGGTCCTCAAAGATAGACAAGACAAGGTTTAAAATCGAATAAAATGCTGCGTAAAAAGCAGGGCCGCTTGTTTCAGCACCACCGTCAGCGGACAGCTCCAGGACGCGTCGCGCCCTGTAGCTTCAGAAATGTTAATTCAACCCCAGGTCTTATTGTGGCATTGAAAGTTTTTCTCCCCACACAACTGTGGAGCCTTTTACAAAGTAACTCTTTCCAAATTCATGTCTCGCGACCATAAGCAAGTAAGTAAATGCTCTTGTTTTAATGCTTTATTTCCGTCCAGTGTTACATTTAATTTGAAACCGGGTTATATTATTAAACTGTGTATTTATTACAATCATTGATAACCGCAGGTGCTGCAAACTGTGCGCGTCACGACTGTTGTAACTTTGGCTTCCCTCGCGCGTCCCTCTCACGATGAGCTGTTAAACTGCTGCTCAATGCCGCCATCTACTGGAACACACACGTGCTAGCACACTTAACACAGCTTACGTTTAACCTTTTTTTTTGCAGCGTCACGTTTAATTTCAGCCATTTGAGACAATTATTTAACAGAAAAATATGTATGATATAAAAAGGTTATGTTTCATTATTTTGTGTTTAAAATTCAGACAGAAGTTGCCCAAATGTAGCCTCTTGTCTGAACTAGATGTACAGTAGAATCTGGCGCTTTGTGCAGGTCAGTTATATATGATGTATTTAGTTCGTATTAACTCAAATAAAACAGTCCATGCAGTGAGAGGAGCATGGGTCACAGAGGGGTCAGGAGGTCTAGGGACAGATGGAGCAGAGGGACCACCTGGGATAATGAAAAGAAAACCAGTATAATATAAGATGCAATTATGAGTTAGAGGTTATGAATTAGTTGTCAATTATTTTAATTGACAACTAAATCTGACCTACTCAAAAACTTCTAGTGACGTGTCAGTTAATCAGTGGATTTTTTAGAGCTGTATTTGGAGACAGTGTAGAAGTAACCTTTAACATTTTTTATTTATTTATTTTTGTCTTTGGTTTATTAGTTTATCCTTATTTTACTCAAATCAGATATAATTTACTATAGATTATATGACATTTCAATCATCTGATGACTCCAGAAATCAAGCTTTCATGTAAACATAGTCATTGTCTAAAACCCAACATAAGAAATTACAAAATATTTAGTTAACTAGAAATTGTATATTTAAATGACCTTTATTATACTTATTTTAGATCTATGAGATCACACTTCTTTTTTATGTTGAATTTGTAATTGGCTAGGGCTTTGTGATTGAATAAAAATAAAATCAGCTGTTACACTGTTCATCAAAATCGCAGTTTGAAAAGGCAAAATTATCAGATCGCGTGCAATTATTTAAGTGAAAGTATAAAAAACAAACAAATAAACAAACTTGTATTATTCTTGTTTATCAGATTTCACTTTTCTCTCAAACATTCATATTGGATGTGCTTAAAATATGGACAGAATTTTGAATTGAAAACGTAATTCGCAAATCAAATCACAGCAGCTATATTTGTGATTCCTAAAGTCACAATAATAAATAACAACAAAAAATAAATGATGTTTTAAAGTGCACTGCGTAACTTCTTGTCCTGCTTGACTCCATGTTGTTTTGTCCTGAAATGTCCCATGATATGGCTTTTAATTTAACTATCTCCACAGAAACACCACCAGGCCAAATTACAGGTCAGATTTGTGGAGAAGTGGACCCGCTGACAGAAATTACGCACACTTTACGGTAGTTTTGAGAAATTAAAACACCTGTAATTGACTAAATACAAGTTATTCTGTATTTGTTTAATGTCAAAGCAATAAGATCACCACAGAAACGAGCAGATAGCGGACCCTATGACCTTCCACTAAAGAAGTTACACAGTGCACCTTTATTACATGGGGAGATAGGAAACATAATCCATCAAACGGCTCGTCCCAGGAGACTGAGTCCTGTTTGGAGTGAGTGATTGGAGAAATAGATCTGTTTGTCAAAGAGCCACTTAAGACAATGGTGCAGTTTAGAGCAGATTATTTACAGGTCAATACGGGCCTAAGTGAGAGGTACTGGTGTCACCACTATGTATTATTCACGACCTTTAAATACTATTGGGCATCAGGATAAAAATGAGGAAAACCTGTGACAAATCCATGGCTGTTTGTGTATCATTTTGAGCTTCCAAAACGGAGACTAAACACTACACAAAGGGCCTTACAAACATGACTGGACTATTTATCATGACATAATTCAATATATTTTCATAATCTCTGACATTTTGTGCAATACTATCATCTATGTATTTCTTTATTTGACAGGGACAATGATCGCTTTGCGCAAGACGCACAACATTTTTGTAAATTTGATTAGCTCGAATGAGGTCTCCAACCTTTTTTCTAGGGTGAGCTACCTTTACAAAACAGAAATAACAAAGAGCTGCAAATTTTTGGGGTTGCAAGATGGTGCTAAGTTTATTCAGTTGTTTCAATAAATAATAAATTGCATTATCATACAGAAAATTATAAACTGATTATTATGCAGTAATCAGCAGATACATAAAGGCAATTATTTTACATTACTCATCACAACTATAATCTCCAAAAAAAAAGAGTGGGGAGAAGCAAATGCTCATCTACCCCCACCCCCTTTTACAATCCCATTAAAGCAATAATGTGCTTCTGCCAGACTCTTATAGTACATCACATTACTCCAGATACAAAAATAAATACAGCGTAGTTTATGTTCAGATAACAAAATAAACTAAATTCCTTCTTGCGCATACATAGCTATAATCATTTCTTTATATTTATGTTAAAACATTTTCATATTTGGCCATTTTTTGAGCTCATCATTCACAGAGTTCCAGATTTTGACCCCACAAACTGAAATACAAAAACTTTTTCTTGTTATTCGCACTCTGGCCATTTTAAAGAGATGAATTTCCCTTAAATTATAAGTACTTTCTCTTTCCTTAAAAAGTTTCTGAATATTTTTTGGTAGTTCTTTCCTTTTTGCCTTGTACATTATTTTTGCTATCTGGAAGCTTATCAAATCCTTAAGTTTTAAAATTCAGAGAAATAGGTACAGGTATTAAGAAATTAGATACACTACCAGTCAAAAGTTTTAGAACATCACTCTTTTTCCAGTTTTTTACTGTTTACCGTTGACCAAAATGTATTCTAAACTTTTGACTCATCAAAGTGTCCACCTTTGGCAGATATAACAGCAGAACACACTCATGGCTCGTTCTTTTTACAAAAGAAATCAAATATTCTTCAGAAAGTTCTTCCCAAGTCTGTTGCAGAAGTTCCATAAATGTGTGGCACTTGTAGGTTGCTTCACACTTCTGTCCAGTTCATCCCAAACCAGCTCGATGGGGTTTAAGTCTGGACACTTTCCTGGACACTCCATGTTTTCAAGTTGACCATTTTGTTTTTTTTTCCTTTGGCTTTTGGCAGATCTTGGACTTTCATCTTTTTTTTTAACCTCTGTCTGTTCAGTTCTTACCTTTGTACCATTTCAAGCTCTTCATTCGACTTGAATTGCAATAAATAACTGGAAAAAATTAGGGTGTTCTAAAACTTTTGACCGGTAGTGTAGATATATGAGGCACAAGTACAGTAAAATGCCTGTAAAATGAAAACCATTATTCATTTATTAGTGCACAAAGTTAAGCATTAAAATTATATGTTTACAATGACAATAGGCATTTAAATGACCACATTTGAATACTTTTCAGCTGAAACTGTCTAGGTTTGAAATGCCGGTCTGTACATAGAGTCTAGACTATCATAACAGACCTAATGATCCTAATGGGACTAAATATGCTTCATGTTTCTCTGATACTTTTCCCCGAACTGTCACAGGTTCCTCTCCAGTCCAAACCCTCGTCTCCTCAGTGCCAGCACACAGGTCTCTCCAAGTGCACCCCTGGGGTTTTAAACAGCAGCAGGTGTCATATTTCAGACATAGACCACTTCATTCAATCATGTTCTCCCATTTGAAAAGTTTATATTTTTGTCTTTGTTCCTTTATGGAGTCCTAAGGATTTGAAAGAAGTTGTATTGGACTGAGTAGTTAAACAGAGTCTCATATGTGACAATATCAGAGCATGCACAAAATCTGCCTGATAGCTGATGATATTAATACAATTTTAGATTATTTGATGCACAAATAATTTAAAATCTTTACACAGAATACAAAAAGCCTACACACATTCCTTAAAACGTCCTATTTATTTATGACAGAACATTTAATCCCTTTTGGGTCCAATCCCTTTTGTGTCCAGCAGATGTCCTCACAGCCTTATTATTGGTAAAGTCTCTTGTTGGAGTGAGAACACTGGTGCGTTTGGGTGCTCTTTTTGAGAATTATCTCGA